ATTAATCTTAAATTTTTATCTTAAATTTTTATTTTTCTTATCATTATTCTTAAATATTAAGTAAAAAATGAATTACTAAGGTTTCTAATCAATTGTAGAAGATTCGTACTTATAGCATTAATTGCATTGGATATGGTGCAATTTAATCAAGATTAAACTGCATTGAATTGGGTGCAATTTAACCAAAATTAAAAAATTGATTATTATCTTTGTAAAATCAATCCTCTTTCTCTAAATTTCCACACGTTCAAAAAATAAATGAAAAAAAAAAAAGGGAAGAGGAGGAAGAGGAAGAAGACTCAATCGAAGTCAGCTGAAGAAGACAAAACAAATGACAGAAGAGTGGCCCAAGGTGAAACAGCTCTGAAGGTGAGTTGTCGGTACGTACTGACAGTTCGGAGATTCATCTTAATGTTTTTACTACCGAACCAAAAATTAATTGCATTCAATAGGGTGCAATTTAACCAAGATTAAACTGCATTGAATAGGGTGTAATTTAACTAAGATTAAAAACTTAATTCTTATCTTTGCAAAATCAATCCCCTTTCTCTAAATTTCCACGCGTTCAAAAAATAAAATGAAAAAAAAAAAAAGGGAAGAAGAAGAAGAAGAAGAAGAAGACTCAATCGAAGTCAGCTGGAGAAGACAAAACAAATGAAAAAAGGGTGGCCCAAGCTGGGACAGCTTGAAAGGTGAGTTGTTGGTTGGCAGGGACGGAACTACCATAGGACAAGGGGAGGCAGCCGCCCCCCTAGACTTTTGAAAATGTTTAATCTAGTACATTAATATTTAATCAGTGCAAAATTTGTTTTTAATGTTTGAATTATAAGAACCATCTTAAATTTAAAGAAAATATTTGGAAGTTATGTAAAAGGATAATTTTTTTTTCTTTAAAATCAATTTTTAAGAAAAATAATTTTATTTGGGTATGAAAAAAAATTTTACATTAGTTGAAATTTTTTGTATAATTTATATTTTATCTATTCAACAATTAAATTTGATATTTTAATTGAAAGTTCATTAAGATCTATAATCACTTCAAAAAAGAAATTATATTTTATATGAGATTATTATTTATTTACTAGACTTGCAAAAAAAAAGTAAAAAATACTTCAAAATTAGAATATTGTAATAAAGTATTACAAAAAAATATTAATATATTCTTCATTTTTACTCTAAAAATACATTAATTTAGTCTATTTATTTTAAATAATATAGTTTTGAAATAATTTTTTCATAATTTTTTATTGATCTGACTTATTAACATTTTTTCTATTATTTTGTATTTTTTGTTTAAGGGTATAAAAGTGTATGTTATTCAAAAATAATTAAATATATTTAATTAATTTAAAATTTGATATATCTGTTATAAATATTACATTAATCTATAAAATTAGTGATTAATATAAAATTAATATAATTTTTTATGTGAAAATTATGAATTAA